CACTAAGTATTGTTTAGAGCATGGTCTGAAATGCCAAAATAATATTCCATCACATGGATACCCCATAAGTTATTTATTATCTTATTAGTATTAATAGTACTAGTATTCTCCTACTATGGATAGTTTGGAGTTGTTTCCAATTATTTATGATTAAACATATTAAGTTTCTTTTAGAAACCTCAGCTGTACAATCAAATTTCTTCTTCATGAAGAGTATATGTAGAATTCCAAATGTGTGTGCAGCATAAAAAACACTGGCCCAGGGATCCCTGGGTGGCGCAGCGGTTTGGCGCCTGCCTTTGGCCCAGGGCGCGATCCTGGAGACCCAGGATCGAATCCCACATCGGGCTCCCGGTGCATGGAGCCTGCTTCTCCCTCTGCCTATGTCTCTGCTCCTCTCTCTCTCTCTCTCTCTCTCATAAATAAATAAAATTAAAAAAAAAAAAAAAACACTGGCCCAGACCATCAACAATATACTTTGAAAATCTATACTTAAAGGTCCCCCACAGTTTGTGAAATTGTAAGTTCCTGGGACAACAGTCCCAGAACTTCCAAGCTCCTTATATGCACAATGAATGACAAGTGACAGCCCTTCTACTAAATAAACAAATTCCTAAGGCTATTCTTTTGCACTTGTTCTATATCACCACTTCTTTTTCAAAGAATATATATTCTATCTGTAGTAATTCAAAAGCACCTTTTAAAAATTCAACTATTATTTTTTAATTCGTTACACTATGTCTTAAGGTTCTTTATAACACAAGAAAGTAAAGTTCAAGCCATCATTTGCTGATCTTGTTAAAATGGTGACAAATAAGAGATTCTGTAAGATAAACTACAGCTACAACTCACCTCTCCCCCACCTCAAAAAAGTAGATAAAAAAGAAGCATTTAGAGCACTAAAAATGCAATATATTAAGGCAAACAAACAAACAAAACAAAAACCCACCCAAACCCCAATACTAATAAACACTCATTCACTAGTAACAACTATGAGCTTGACTAGGAGAATATGAGGCTCACAGTTTGGTAATATATATCTTTTTATTTTATTTTTTCTTTTTCTTTTTTAAAAAATATTATATTTATTTATTCATTCATGAGAGACACAGAAAGAGAGCAGCAGACATAGGCAGAGGGAGAAAAAGGCTTCCTGCAGGGAGCCCTATGGGGGATTCAATCCCAGGACCCCAGGATCTTGATCTGAGCCAAAGGCACTCAACCACCGTGCCACCCAGGCATCCCTTGGCAATATATTTAACCCAGTGGAATTATTCTACCTTTTTGACAATTTTTTTTCTTTGAAATATACTTAAATTTAAATATACAATTCCCTACCTATCACAGGATCAACTAAAGAGTAATTTTTTTTAGATTTATTTATTTATTTATTTATTTATTTATTTATTTATTTTATTTTATTTTATTTAGAGAGAGAGAGAGAGAGAGAGAGAATGAGAATGGCTGGGACACAGGCAGAGGGAGAAGCAGGCTCCATGCAGGGAACCTGACATGGGACTCGATCTCGGATCTCCAGGATCACACCCCAGGCTGTAGGAGGTGCTAAACCGCTGCCACACCGGGGCTGCCCTAAAGAGTAATTTTTGATATGAAATCAGTCTGTCTTAAGTCCTTTCTAAAAAGACTATTAGAAGTACTAAGCAACTTTAAGCTAGTGGCCGGACTGTGGAATTACAATACAGTTAACGTATCAATAGCCTTATTAATTTAATGAATGGCAGTATCGTTATTACTTAGATCATCAGACCAGCAAATAATCAAGACATTTACCAGTACCATCTCCTACTTCTCCATTCACTGCTACATAAATTCCCATGCTTACAAAATGCCTGCTTCTGGGGGCACCTGGGCAGCCGACTCTTCATTTTTGGTTCCAGTTGTGAGTACAAGCCCCATGTGGGGCTCCATGCTAGGCGTGGAGTCTACTTAAAAAAAAAAAAAAAAAGCCCGCTCTCGCCTCTAATAAAGAAATAAAATAGGTCTCAGAAATAAGAGCTCAAGCAAATTAAATTTTTCTCATGTTTGTTTCTTTTCTTTTCTTTTTTTTTTTTTTTAAGATTTTTATTTCTTTATTCATGAGAGACAGAGAGAAAGAGGCAGAGACACAGGCAGAGGGAGAAGCAGGCTCCATGCAGGGAGCTCGACGTGGGACTCGATCCCGGGTCTCCAGGATCACACCCCTGGCTGCAGGCGGCACTAAACTGCTGCGCCACCGAGGCTGCCCATGTTTGATTCTTTTTTAAAGTAAGCTAGTTCTGTTTTCTTCTAGATCTTGGGCACAAACCATTAATTATTTTCCTATATAAAAACAGTATAGTTTTAGAAACAGGTTTTTACTTTTTCTGGTTGTATACTACCTACCTATTTCCACAAGATTGCAGAAGCACAAAAAGTGATTTAGAGCATTAAAATTTATCAACAGACAACCTATAAAAGACATGCTGAATATGTCTGTGGTCAGAAATACCCACGGCTTTAATTAACATTTTAACTAAGATGAAATGATGGCAAATTTTCCAACAAACAATACTTTTTTTTTTTTTTTTTAAATAAAAAAGAAATTTCCTGGGGCCACTGGGTGGCTGCTTTCAGCTCAGGTCATAATATCAGGGTCCTGGCATAGAGTCCAAGCCCTCTCCCCCAGCATCATATCCCCTCCCCCCCCAACCACAGTGGGGAGTCTGCTTCTCCCTCTTCCTCTGCTTGTACCTTCTCGCTAGTACTCTCTCTCTCTCAAATAAATAAAGTCTTAAAAAGAAGGAAAGGAAAAAATATTTCCCTAAAACAGCAAGTCAATTTTTTTTGACTCTTTAAGCCCAAGAAACGATGTCCCAGGCAAATAACCATGAAAAAACTCCCAACTTCTTTTATCAACATGTAAGCATGAAATGGCAACCTGCCCTATTAATCATTTTTTTAATTTCATTTTTAAGTAATCTCTATACCCAATGTGGGGCTTGAACTTACAACCATAAGATCAAGAGTCCCGTGCTCTACAGTTTGAGCCAGCCAGGTGCCCCCCCCCTTAATCCAATTTTTTAAAAAACATACAGTGTTTTAAGGAAATTAACAAACCAAACAATAAACTGCTAAATACATTTCACCATCAAAAGATATTAACTCATAGTAAACAGAGCATAAAAGCTTTCACTACTTGGTATCTGATTGGGAATCCAGAGTGGTATCTCCACAGGACAGAGATGGGGGAGAACCGAAACCTATTTAACAGAGTATGGGGGGGGGGGGTAGGTATTTAATTATGTAATAGTGTAAAATCTTACTTTTTTTGGTTAAGAGAAAAAAGTCAAAACAACCATACATTCAACTTTATATTATACATGTAGTGAAGGCTCCAAAAGGCTGGAAAAACCCAGCCAAAGTAAACTATGTTTAATTAAAATTCTTACAGAAATTGAGTACTTTATGCAAAAACAAAATTCTCCTTGCCATTTCTACCTTACATTCGCAAGGATGATCTTCAAGTTTATCAGCGCTAATAAGTCACGTACTGAATAAACTATTGCTTAGGAAAGATAAGCAGAAACGTTTAAAAGTAAAAATAAAAAATACCGACATATTTAAAAGAAACCCTTCCACAGTCATAAAAATACCTGTAATATAAATAAACATGCAATCAATAAAAACCCACATGATATCACAAGTAACATTCTTCACGCACTGCCTACAACTGGCTTGAGCTGCACAAACTAAAACGTAAAGCAGAAACCGTTAACTATTAGCCAAATTAAAATTTTACATTCAACTTTTAAAGAATTATCGAAACCTCGACTATGATTTTCGGGTAAGTGCAAGCCTTTCCCGCTACCTTTCACAAATGTGCCTTCGTTTAAAATAGATTAATTGTAAATGACTATACCAAGAAGCTTTACACGAATTCAGACGAAACTGTTAATGTTTAAGAATATCTGGCACTTGAAATATAAGACGAGCCCGATACCCTTAAGGATCCACTTCACAACTTGACGGTAATGCAGCATCACTGTAATATACAAGAAACATGCACAAAACGGCCCCAGAATAAAAAACAAAGTTGATGCTAATTCTTGGCCCGGATAATTATCCTTAGTTGGCACACAGTCATTGTTTCTCAAAAGCAATCTGAAATGGTAGTAAAATTTTTTTTTTTGAAATCTTGTAAATCTGTTTAAGCCCTTTAAAATCTTTACAAATCACCATTCAGCCACATAAAAAATTCGTTCATTTTTATACTGTTGATATTTTTAACTCTGAATACTGGGAAATCTCTTAAGACAAAAAATCCACTGGGCCAATTCCTTTATCCCTCCCCCTACGTGTACCAAAACAAACAAGCAAAACCTCCTCCCCAGCTTTTCTCAAAACAAGTAGTCTTACTTTTTTTTTGAAACAGCTACCCTTGCTCTGAATGCTCTGCTGCACCTTTACCTTAAACCAAAACGGACCCTGGACAAGACTTATTATTAGGCTGTTTCCAGGAAACCCTCGAGCGGCGTTTCGCGGTCGGGCCTAGGAGGAAGAAGGCCGTTCCCCCCCAGTTCTCAGACCCTTCTCTCTGGATTTCGCACTCGCTCAGTTCCAGGGTGAAGGAGAGGGGCCCGGAAAGCGGGGCCCGAACGGGCAGTCAGGGCCTAGACCGCTTCCCGATCCCGCAGGCGGCTGCGCCCTGGGGAGGAGGAGAAGGCACCGAAAACCGGACGCCGGCGGCCAGGGGTGTCCATGTGAAACGAGGAGGCGCTCGGAATCGGAGCGCGACGCTCGGGACCCCTCTCGCTGCCTCCTTTACCCTCCCCTCCCCCATGCTGGAGAAGCAGGGCCCGGGCCCGGTGCGGGAAGGGGGAGGAGGTAAACCCGTCCTGTCACTGCACCGGGAGAGACTGAAGAAGCACATGTTCTACGGGTAGAGGCCGCGGTCGCCCCTGCCCCAGCCCCTAAAGCCAGACACCACCCTTAACCCCAGAGTTCCGTCCCCACCGCCTCACCAGGTCGTAGTCCTCCTCATCATCGCACATGAAATCATCCTCCATGTCAGACATCTTGGCCGGGAGGGGGGGAGAGGGAGGAGAAATTGGAGACAACCTCCTCCCACAATCCTCCACGGCTCGGAGGCGTCACTCCCAGCGGCTCCTCGCCTTCCCGTCGCTCGCTGAGCGCCTGAGTGTTCCCGCCCGGAACAAACGCGCTGCGCGTCGAGAGGATTCGCTACGACGCCAAAAGGGAGTGCACTGCCTCGTCTTCCTGCGAGACGGTTGGTGCCTTGGCAACGACGCCTAGCAACGGGGGAATCGTCTGGTGCTGAGGATCTCTGCCGAAGGGCCTTGGAAACCTTGCGCTCACACTGAGCAGTTTCCAGCCTCCTGGGCAAGGGAACAGTCTCTTCCCTTGCCTGGGACTCTGGAACCATCTCATTCTGGTGAAAATAAGAGGCACCGTAGAATCAGAAGCCTTTCGCGGAGAAAAGGCTGACATGCCCGTCCTATTTGACAGGTAGTAGTATTTCTGCCTTGATTATCTATGTGCATTTCGCCCACACATTGGGGTGGGTGTTCCTGTGATGTTTGGAGACCTTCTCAGCAGCACGGTTTACACATAATGCTTGTTATATTTGTAGTCGGCGAAACGGTGCTGTAGCTGTCCCAGACCAGCTAAGCATCAATTGACTGAGGCGCCTAAAATCTCATTCAGTTTTTCAACGATTTATAAACTGACCTTTACTGCCCTTAACCAAAATTAATGATAACAGGTAACGATTTTTTTTTAAAAAATATGCATTGTTGCACAAAATCATTAGCAGAATTCAAAATGAATGAAATACGCGGGGCAACTGCGTTTTAAACGGCATTTCCCATATAAACTTCCCGTTCTGTCCACTTGAGTCAACAAATTTTATATGGTTAGAGCACAGATAAAATCTCGGATTATTTTTGCACCTATTTATGTAACAGCATAGGACAATGTATGCAATATGTTCTCGGCAGTGATTACTTTAGTGGTTGCATAATAATGCCTCCATTGAATAATGCCTCCAATGCACCATGATTTACATAAGCATGCCACTATTGTTATACAGTTAGAATATTGCAAAAGCAGTATGATGTTAAACAATTTTGCAGCGAAAATCCTTGCCACTTTATTTTTTCCTTAGGAAAAAGTCCAAGGGGAGGAATTACAGGTTTGATTTTTTAGTAATCAATTGAATTTGCCATCTTTTTGGTTCTAGTTCTTCAAAGTTATATTTGAAGACTGCCTACCTATAAACAAAGTTTTTCCCTAATAGTCCTTTCCTGCCAACTTTTTATGATGAGAATTTACAACATTCAGAAAAATTGAAATAGTCCAGTGAATGTGTGTATACCCACAATCAACTTTGTGTTTGTGTGTGTATTCCCTGAATCAATTGAAAGTAGAATGCAGATATTGTGATGCATCACTCTTAGATGCAGCTATGTGTACTTTCTAAAAACAAGGACATTTTCTTATGTTTTCAGATCATTATTGCATCAAGAAATTAATAATACCCTGATATATAGTATCAACTTCATATTCAAAATTCCCCTATAAGATGGGGCGCCTGGGTGGCTTAAGTCATGACCCCAGGGTCCTGAGGTCAAGCTCGTAATTGGGCTCCCTGCTCAGAGGGGAACCTGCTTCTCCCTCTCCCAGCTCTCCCTGCTTGTGCTTTCTCTCTCTCTCTCTTTGTGTCAAATAAATAAATAAAGTCTTTTAGAAATTCCCCTATAAGGATTTTAGAACCGGAAGAGCCTTTATGATACTATCTTAGGGTCCAAGGCTTTCCAAGCATAGCAGTTCATTAGATTATAAACTTCCCACATCCACATCAGAGATTCTGATTCAGTAGGTCTTGGGTAAAGCTCAGGAATATATACTTATAAACCTCAAGATAACCCCAAATCTCCCTATAACTGGGGTGACTACACATCCCGGTTTGCCTGGGACAGCCCTGATTTAGTACTGTTGTCCCAGAATAATAACTATCAGTATCCATTACTCTCAGAAGTTTGGACAATAAATCATATGGTTACTTCACCTGAAATCCATAATTCTTCAAAAGACAAAATAGTATTCCAAGATGGTTAAGAGGATTATTTGCTCAGAGTAATTGGAACCACATAGTTTTGCATTTTAGGCAGTATAGCAATTATCTAGTAACCATGTGCATAGTAGTCACATGAATAAAACTGCATGTTGATTTTCACCAAATTTATTGATACAATTTTCTTTTTAATATAATTCTTTATTCCTACAAGGGGAAAAGAATTATTCAAGTAAACTAGTGACTAGGTGCCCTAGAAAAACAGCTAAATGTTGGGCATAATGTTTTTAATCATTTCCAAATCTAATCAACCCAGTCTGGAAATTTGCTAAGACAGGATAAAAGGTCTTCATAGTGTTTAGCACACTGCTTGAGTACACAAGTGGTAATAAATGTTTGTTGAATGAATAAACATGTTCATTTTTCTGTGCAAAGAATGCCCTTATAGCTATCTCTATGCTTCAGAATCTTTTCTGTCCTTAAAAATCCACTTAAATGTCACCTTACTCACACGACCTATCCTGAATACTTTGTGCAATTATGATATTCTTTTTTTCTTGACATCAATTTTATTCAATGGTAAATAACTGCATTTTTTTATTTTAACAGGGAGCATTGATGTGATGTGGTGCCCTTGTAGAAAGTGGATCCTCTGTTTTAAAAGTATATATAAAAAAAACTTTATTGAGGTATAATTTATCAGCTTTATTGAAGTACATTAAGCTGCACATGCTTAAAGTGTACCATTTGATGAATTTTGACATATGTATACACTTGTAAAACCATTACCACAACCAAGGTAATGAGCATATTTATCACTGCAGAAGCTTCCTCATTACCTCTTGGTGATCCTTCTTTTTCAAACCCTTCACTTTTCCTAGGCAACCACCAATCTACTTTTTGTCATATAGATTATTTTTCGTTTTCTGGAAGTTTATATAAATGAATTCTCTTTTGCCTGGCTTCTTTTGGTCAGTATAATTACTTTGAGATTCATCCATGTTGTTTCAATTTTAGTTCAACTGATGGTTTCTTTTTATTGCTGAATGTTCTATTGTATGGATATCTCAAAAGATATGTATTCACTTGTTGATGGATATTTGAGTTTTTTCAGTATTTGGCTACTACAAATAGAGCAGTTAGGAACGTATCTGTACAAGTTTTTGTGTGGACGTGTTTAATTTCTCTTGAGTAATGTGGTGGACAGAGGTGGTCTCCTTATTAACTCTGCTCTTGGATAATCCTTTCCCCCTTGAATGTGGGTGGGATCCCTGACTTGTTTCTTTTTTGTTCCTTTCAGTTTTAGTGAGGTGTAATTGACAAATAAATGTGACTTGCTTTTAGCCAATAGGAAAGACACAGTAAAGGTGATAAATGTGATTATGTGAACATAATTAATTATATTGCATAAGATTGTAAACTCATTTTACTGGGAGTGAATCTATCTCCCTTGCTGCTTCAGGAAAGCAAGTGGCCATGTTATGAAGGATTATGTGGCAATGAGCTGAGGGTCACATCTGGCCATTAGCCAGCAAGAAACTGTGGCCTTCACTCTGACAATCCATAAGGAACTGAATACTGATAACAGGTGATCTTAGGAATGAATCCTTCCCCAGTTGAACTTCAGATAAGACTTTGTGAGACCCTAAAATAGAGACTCCGCTAAGCCATACCCTGACTCCTGAACCACAGAAAGTGTGAGGTAGTCAATATGCATTGTTTTATATTGCTATGTTTGTGGTAATTGTTATGTAGTAATAGAATGAATCTGGATAAATACTTAGCAAAGGAATGGTTTTAATATTTTAATCTAGAAGTTTTCCTATAGTTTAACTCTTACATTTAAGAGTTTAATTTCAAGTTGAATTTTTGTATATTGTATGAGATAAATGTAGAGGTTTATTTTTTTCTGCGTGTGGATATCAAATTGTTCTAACTTTATCTGTTGAAAAGATCCCTTCTGTGTTGAATTGTCTTGGCACCTTTGTCAAAAATAATGGACATTTAATTCCTAACATAATCTGACCCTTTAAAAGTATGTTTTTGATAGCTTTGCTACTCTGTATTATGATTATTTTATATTCTTTATTAAGCTGAAAGTTCCTGAGGACACAGCTATCTTATTTACCCCTGAATCCCTTGAAACTAAGCATGTGCTTTGCCTATAGAAAATGCTCAATAAAATGCTCAATAAAAATGTGATGTGTTTAAACTCTAGCATTCATGATCCCTCACTTCTCTGGGTTGAGACATATGGTTACTCCAAATAGGCTCCTGATTTGACATCGCTTCAGATTGATCATCTTAATTTTTTTTTTTTACTACATTTATTTAGAGAGGCTGAATACCATATGTTAGAAGGCAAAAGAGGAGGATTCCTTTTGTATTAGTTAAGATCTGGACAGGAAACTCATGGTATACTCAGGGGGAATAAATAAAAATTTAATGACAAGACTGAGGTGCCTGGCTGGCTCAGTGGGTAGAGCATGAGATTCTTAATCTCAGGGTTGCGGGTTCAAGCCACACATTAGGTATAGAGCTTACTTAAAAATATATCAACTGGATTTTTTCTTTTTCAACTGGATTTAATGAAACTTAAGATGGACTTCCAACAGCAGCTGTGGTTATAGAGAAACACAGCTACTGCCCTAACTGTGTAGCAAAAGTGGAGGGGATGGTGATAAATACCTCAACTTTGGCTATAGTCTAAATCATATACTTCACTCAGGGAAGGAAATTTCTCTTTCAAAGGCAAATTGATGACTATGTATTGTTGGAGCATATTCCTTGATCTTACCAAACAACCTAAGTGGCTAGTGAAAATGTTATTTCCCCCTACATTTAATACCCACTCCTTCCTGAGAGGAGTTCTGATAAATACAGTTTGCATGATCTCATTACATTCCCACCTTATAGACTAATGACCTTTCCTAGTTAGTGTTCCTTTTAAGCTGCCTCAATCTTTTCTGATTAAATAAAATGATGCATGTGTTAAACACATAGTGCTTCCAAAGTGCTTAATAAGTGTATCATCTTTAACTCAACCAACTTCTCATATTGATCCTTCAGAATGCTCTATACTGCAGTTACATCTTTTATCTCTAAAACTGCCATAGGAGGAATGTGCCAAAAAAAAAAAAAAAAGATAATTGGGCATGCTAGGAGTTTTCATTTCTTTTTTTTTTTCTTTTTTAAAGATTTATTTATTTATTTATTCATGAGAGACAGAGAGAGATAGACGCAGAGACACAGGCAGAGGGAGAAGCAGTCTCCATGCAGGGAGCCTGATATGGGACTCGATTCTGGGACCCCAGGATCATGCCCTGGGCCAAAGGCAGGCAGTCAATCACTGAGTCACCCAGGCGTCCCCGGAGTTTTCATTTCTTAAACTGACATTGATCTTGTAAAAATGCAATGTTGCACACTTTTAGCA